TATTCACATCTGCCTATCATTATTTTTTCAGTCTATTTTAGTTAATTTATTTATTTTATTAAGTCCATATTTATATTGTCATTATAGGACTATTTTTTTCCTATTTATCTGTGTTTGTCTTTTGCTTTATTTCATTATTTATTATCTGTATCTATGTGTGTTATTATTTAATTCATAAATGGGCTGTTCCACCATCATTCAGCTGGTAGTGTGTGTGTGTGTGTGTGTGTGTGTGTGTGTGTGTGTGTGTGTGTGTGTGTGTGTGTGTGTGTGTGTGTGTGTGTGTGTGTGTGTGTGTGTGTGTGTGTGTGTGTGTGTGTGTGTTTCTCTCTGTATGTACGTCTAATCACCCCATACACACACGGGCATCACTAGATCAGACATACATGTAGACAGTCACACCTCAAACACATTATCTACACAGGTATTCCAATTAATTAAGTGAGTTATAACATACCTTTCATAGCCAATTTTGTGTGTGTGTGCGTATGATATTACTGTACACACATACCTGGCTCATATACGCACATATCAGGTTGTTATACGCATATAAAAGCCCCCGTGATGTTATATCGGTACACATTCACGTACACACATACACAGACACACACACGTACATACACGCACACAAACCACCCAGGAATTGATTTCCGCACGACTGCACACCTACACGCCCCATCGCTTAGATAAATCAAACGCCCACACGCCCACACGCCCACACGCTTGACTAACTGAACACGCCCACACACCCACACTCTTGGCTAACTTAAACGCCCACACACCCACACTCACACACAGCAGCTGTCCACACGTCCACACACCCACACGCCCTAACGCCCACACGCCCACACACCCCACCTCACATGGCCAACTCTTACGTCCACACACCCACACTTGCACGCCCCCACATACACACCCACACACACTCCAGACACAGCGGATAGTCATGCCTGCTGATCTGACTTCCAAAATTCAGATTCGTTTGAGAATAAGTGCACCACTAGAATGTGTAAAGACAAATGGTTACATTGATCTATTAAAGAGAATGGAGAAGGGAGGGGAGAGAAAAGAAGAATGAGAGAGAGAGAGAGAGAGAGAGAGTCAATTCTTCTATCATCACTTTATAAGCAGGTTATCACCTCTGAGTCCTTCCTATTGCACAAACTCTTAGCGAAACTATTTATCATCTCCTTACATTAACAAACATCTATGACACCATGTTCTTCTAAGTGGGACTCGAGTGGAGGTCAGTTGAGTCATAACAGTGATCCTCCACCAGCTATGATACGGCTTAGGGGGTCTTGTTATTGTCTGACGTCATGGATAATAATGATCAATATGATGACATCACAGTCATTCACGAGAACGAGTACCGGAACTACCAGAGGAGAGTTAAGGGGGGGGGGGTGAGGCGTTTAGATATTAAGTGACAGTAATTGAATTTCCTGTGTTAAGATTTATCAAAGGTAAACACTAGAGGCGATTTTGGCATAGATATGATAATGGCTACCGTCACGTTCGTAGAAGATGAACAAAAATACTCAGCAGTGAATGTCATTTTCATTGAGGAATTCCTTCGAAGAACGACGGAGGTCCCTATTGGTCAGGATCTGGACCTCGGGGTTGTGACGTCACAGGTTATCAACGCGGGGGAGCAGCTGCCAGCCAATGAGGTCGTGTAGGACTGCTCACACTTGCTAACATTCCCATAATCCATCGTTCACTGAGTTTGCATGACCGACATCTATTTACAATCATCAATCCTCTATCTTCCCTTCAACTCCAGAGAAAAACGCACAAAAAAACATCAAAATTGCGGTGAAAAGAGATCTAGGAGGTAGGAACTGCGGGAGAGGTGAGGGAGGGAGGGAGACAAGTCGACTAAAAGTTGTGAGAGTGGATGAGAGTGAGTGAGAGCGCGGAGGAAGTGTGGGGTGGGGCAGGTAGAGTCGCTCCCAGTATAAGTAGCGGCACACCACCGCGCACCGCCCAACTCGTCAGGTGTGGAGTTGAGGAAACACACAGGAACAGAGAGAGAGAGAAAGAAAGAAAGAGAGAGAGAGAGACAGAGACACATAGAAAGAAAAATACCGAGAGAAAAAGAGAAATAATCACAGGAAAAACAAAAGAGAGAGACATACACGAGGGTGAAAGAGAATTAAGACTTATAAACGTAGGGTGAAAGAGAGAGAGAGAGAGAGAGAGAGAGAAGAAATCCCTAAGTTACCCCTACAACCTTCAGAGGACTTTGTAGAAAACTATTACCACCATCCAAGGTTCTACTACCACTACTACCACAACTACCACAACTACTAAACCTCCTCCTGAGTCAGTAGCACATACCTGTGACGGGTCTGTCTATCTGTCTGTCTTTCTGTCTACCCCGCGTGTGCTGAAGCCATGGTTTTCCGACGACAATGATCTGTACAAGAAACGCCATAACCTCTTCTTGAAGTCTACCACCACCACTACTACCACCACTACCACCAACTGGCACAAGGTAAGTCACTATATATATTTGTTTACCTGTAGCTACCTAATTTACCTATGTGTAATAATCTACCTGTCTATTCCCCCGTATTTTACAAGAGGCGATTTTACCTGTCGATTAATCTACCATCTACCTTTTTACCTGTGGATTAATTTACCGATATACCTTTCGATTAATCTACCCGTCTACCTGCTGAATCATCTACCCGTCTACCTGTCGGTAATCTACCCTTGAGTCAGTCGATTTGGTGGCCAATCTACCTGTCACTTTATTTCGCAGTCTACCTATTGATTTATCTTCTCATCTACCTGTCGAATTTATCTACCTTTTCTACCTAATAAATAAACTAACGGGACTACTAAAATAAGAAATCCTTTTGCATTACAATTGCAAGACCCTTCCCAGCACCCACCTGTCTACCTGTCAATCTGTCTACCTGTTAATACGACTACCTGTTGACATTTCTACCTGCCTCTTTACCTCTCTGTCTCCATGTTAATCTGTCTACCTGTCTCTCTATCTACCTGTCTCTCTACCTACCTGTATCTACCTACCTGTCTTACCAGTATCTCGACCTACCTGTCTCTCTATCTACCTGTCAATTAACCAAGTCTCCACACCTCATTAAGGACTGCGATTGAACTGTCCTCCCCTGCCTCTATCTATCTATCTATCTATCTATCTATCTATCTATCTATCTATCTATCTATCTATGTATCTATCTATCTTTATCTCTATCTCTATCTCTATCTCTCTACCTATATGTAAATTCGCTAATCATTCTTCTTTATCAGTAAGTTAATTCAGACGGATTGGCTTTTCTTTTCCTGTCAGTAAGTATTGCCAATCAGTAAGTATTGCCAATCAGTAAGTATTGCCAATCAGGAAGTATTGCCAGTCAGGAAGTATTGCCAATCAGTTTGTATTGCCAATCAGTAAGTATTGCCAGTCAGGAAGTATTGCCAATCAGTTTGTATTGCCAATCAGTAAGTATTGCCAGTCAGGAAGTATTGCCAATCAGTTTGTATTGCCAATCAGGAAGTATTGCCAGTCAGGAAGTATTGCCAATCAGTTTGTATTGCCAGTCAGGAAGTATTGCCAATCAGTAATTACGTAAAATGTTAGGTAATGTTATGCTTCCTTGTACTGCGTTCTTGAAGGTAACGAATCCGTATTTGTAATTAATGAATGCATGCTTGAATGAGTACTGCTTGTAATGTATGAACCCGTGCTTGTAATGTATGAACCCGTGGTTGTAATGTATGAACCCGTGCTTGTAATGTATGAACCCGTGCTTGTAATGTATGAACCCGTGGTTGTAATGTATGAACCCGTGCTTGTAATGTATGAACCCGTGCTTGTAATGTATGAACCCGTGCTTGAACCGTGGTTGTAATGTATGAACCCGTGGTTGTAATATGAACCCGTGCTTGTAATGTATGAACCCGTGCTTGTAATGTATGAACCCGTGCTTGTAATGTATGAACCCGTGCTTGTAATGTATGAATTACTTGTAATGTATGAACCCATTACTTGTAATGTATGAACCCGTGCTTGTAATGTATGAACCCGTGCTTGTAATGTATGAACCCGTGCTTGTAATGTATGAACCCGTGCTTGTAATGTATGAACCCGTGCTTGTAATGTATGAACCCGTGCTTGTTTATATCTGTGTATTCATGCAGATTCAGAATTCGGTTACTAAAACGTTCTGGAAATTTCAACTTCAGGGATAATCAATTAATAAAACTTAAACACGCATTCATTAGACTCAAGCAAGTATTTTACACACTCTTCCACTATACTCAAGCACGCATACATTAATTACGAACCTGAATCCAATAAGAGCGTATTTATTAGTTACAAAAAAACGCGTTATTGTCACGCATTCGTAAATCAGTGCGTAGTGGGGCACTTTCTGGTAGGTGTGTGTGTGTGTGTGTGTGTGTGTGTGTGTGTGTGTGTGTGTGTGTGTGTGTGTGTGTGTGTGTGTGTGTGTGTGTATGTGTGTGTGTGTGTGTGTGTGTTGTGAACTGTTAGTTAATATATAACGTTGGGAGGAAGTTTAATGACATATATGAGGATAAAGAGATAGAGAGAGAAGAGGGAGAGATAGAGAGACGGGGGAGAGAAAGTGAGAGACAGAGGGAGAGATAGAGAGACAGGTGGAGAGATAGAGAGACAGAAAGAAAGAAAGAGAGATGGGAAGTGATGGAAAGATAGAGAGATATAGATGGAGACGCAGGAAGACGGGGAAAGGGAGAGATGCAGAGAGTTAGAGGAGAAGAAAAACAAATAGATAGACAGATAAACAAAAAAAAGACAAAAGAGAGAGCAAAAATGTGAGAGACAGAAGGCAAACACAAAGAGACACACAAAGAAACGCGGAGAAGGAGAATGTAAGAGAGAGAGACAGACAGACAGACAGACAGAGAGACGGAGAGAAAGAGAAAGAGAGTGAGAAAAAAAAATCACATCAAAATTAATTGCAATAACAAGGGTGAAGCTGTCTTATCGCCACTATCACATCATTGCCGGCGTAGTATCGCGTGTGTCGTCATATTCAGGTCAAATATATGTGGATTAGGTAAGAAATAAGCAGAATGACCCAGAAATACGAACATTGGGTCAAACTATGCAAACTAGGTAAAAAAGAATACGAGTAATGGGACTGACGTTCACGAATTGGGTCAGATATATGGGGGCTAGGGAGGAAAATCACGGTCTTTGTCGGAAATACGCGGATTATATCAGAAATTCGCGGATTATATCAGAAATTCGCGGATTATATCAGAAATACGCAGACTATATCAGAAATAAGCAAAATTTAAAAAAAATAAGCGAAATATATCACAAATACGCAGATTATATCAGAAATACGCGAAATATATCAGAAATGCGCGTATTATTTCAGAAATATGCCGACTATATCAGAAATACGCGAAATATCCCCAAAATACGTTGACTGGCTAAACAAAACACGGACTAGGTAAAATATACGGAGCATAACTAAAAATACACGGTGTAAGTAAAGAAATTAGCGAAATACGTGAAAAAAAAATAAGGAATTTGAGTCAAAAATACGGATGGTCAAAGGGACCGAAATTTCTTATCTGCCTCAGGATATAAATTAGATCTGGTTCGTCTTATCTCACGCAAATTGTACCTACACAGTAATTACACATACACACACACACACACACACACACACATGTATTTAAGCATGTATGTTATCTCTTAATGTGAAGTTTCTTGTTAATCCCTAATCCTTTATATAGTATAGCGGTTAATCCCTCCGTAGTAAGTCAATTAATCCCTTCGTTATTCCCTGCATCTTTCGTTAATCCCCGCATCTCACGTTAATCCCCGCATCTCACGTTAATCCCCGCATCTCTCGTTAAATCCCGCGTTTTTCGTTAATCCCCACATCTCACGTTAATCCCCGCATCTCACGTTAATCCCCACTTCTCACGTTAATTCTCTCCTCTCTCTCTCTCTCTCTCTCTCTCTCTCTCTGTATTTTAAGTTATATCAAGTGGTTTACCAATCATGATTTATTTACCTAATTATGTAAATTATATTGAATCTCTCTCTAATTTGTTAAATCAATTTGTAACTCAATTTATTCTGTTTACAATATGTTTATACTCCATTGCTTCACACACACACACACACACACACACACACACACACACACACACACACACACACACACACACACACACACACACACTGGAAGACGACACCTGGACGGGTAAATCTATACGTATGACTGGAATTACATATTTGGCGCGGAAATAATATAAATTTGGCGGGAACATTACTTAATTGGCGGGAAATTGTTTTTGTTGGCGGGAAAACTGTCTCCGTGGCGGCTAATATATAAAATTGGCGGGTGAACTCCATCTATGGCGGGAAACTATAAAATTGAGGGGAAACCTGTAAAAATAGCGGGAAAATTACGTTGTTTGGAGGTAAAAATTATATATTGCGACGGAAAAAATATAAAAGTGATATAAAAAATAAATAACTGGAGGAGAATTTATGTAATTTGGCGGTAAAATTGTAACCTTGGCGGAAAAGTTAAAAACCTGAAGAGAAAATTAAAATTATTCTACAATAAAATTGTATACGTGACGGGAAACTTTAGAAATCCGGCTGGAAAATTACAAATCTGGTGGAAAAGCTACAAATCAGACGGGAAAAAGGATGTGAAATTGTTTAAATTGTCTTCTCTTGCCAGAGATTTTTTGAACAGCCATAAATTCGAAAACTTGGCACTTCATCCCTGATAAACGTCACGCCAAAGCTACAAGCTGATTGGTGAATTCTTCTCTCGTCGGGGCAGAGACTGAACGGGGTGGGATGGGACGGGGCAGTGGATTTTTTTCACGGTATACAGGTGTGGCCATTAGTCAGGTGTGGCCAGTACACAGGTATGGCCAGTACACAGGTATGGCCAGTACACAGGTGTGGCCAGTGCATAGGTGTGGCCAATACCTAAGGACAACCACCCGACGCACCTGCACACAACTCAGCCTCGTCCACCCTGTAGTCAGTCAGCTGTTAGACGTAAACATTAGAAATAAAACAAAAAAGTAACAATAAATAAAGACGAAGATTAAAAACACAAAGAAAAACAAAGACCATAATGAAACTTCTCACACACACACATCTCGACTTAACTACCTGTGTAACTACTGTAATTCGGCAGTTGAGTAGTTGAAACTGGTGTTTTGTTGTGTTTGAGTGATTAGGAGTCGACGTTTGGTCTGTGACTAGTGTTGTGGGTCAGTGTGTGGTGGTGACTGAGTGTGTGCAGACGATTGACTGACTGACTGACTCACTCACTCACTCACTCACTGACTGACTCACTGACTGTGTTGGCCAGATGTACAGTACTTTGCTTGAGGACACGAGAAACAGGTGAGAATTTATTATTTACAAATTAATTTTCTTTCAAAATTCTGTAAAAAAAAATTGACCTAGGTTGGCGTTCTGTAAAAAAA